AGAAAATTAAGCTTCTTCATGAGGTCTCTCAGTAATTCAGACTGATTATTTACAAATAAGGTCACTACAGACAATAAAGCAAATAAGATTATGTACATGTAGAGTACTCCTTCAATCAGTGAAGAGTAGGTCTGTGCACAACAGCAGCTACACTCTTAGGTGACTGTCCCCTTTTCAAGGGCTGTTGAAAACTGGGAGAAGCTGACCTGCTTCCTCTCTGTAAATCCCTTTGGGTACTACTCACAGGAAAGGAAATCATAACCAGGAAGGCCTTTTTTGGGATAACAAATGCATATCCCCATTCACAGAGACCATTTACTGTTTTCAGCAGCTGCTCTGAATTAGAAAAATAAGACCAAATCTGTAGCATTACTACATTAAAGAGGCACCTTACAAACAGTACAGTGTTTGTAATACAGTGCACCACTTCCTGCCTCTCATATTTGTGCATTCCTACAAAAGAAATATGTGGGCAGAACATGGCTCATCTTATTTCTTCAGACAGAAAATTCCAAGATCTCTTGTAGACAAAGGTTGAAAGAATCTTGAAAATTGCTACTTCAAAGATTGATGAGGTTGGATGAGAGCAATACAGAGCTCACCTGCCTGGACTTCTCAGACTGATGGATCCTGAAGCAGTGTATTGCTAAGGTCAAACTATTCATTTCTGCCAGCACTGACACAGAAGCTGCTGCAGTTATAATCTCTGAAACTATAATACATAGTATTCTGTACAAGTTTATAAACTACTAGAGAAAGTGTATCCTGATGTAAGGCTGGTTGTTTTGAAGCAACTTATTTCATCCTTTCAAACTATCTATCTATCTATTTGATTAATATATATCTATATATATGAATGATTAACTTTTAGTTTGAAAGGAACTTTGATTTGAATATTTGTACTCTTAAAGGAGCCCAAGTCAACAAGAACAAGTATATGTAGATGAATTTATTTCCCATTAATGTTGCTAGACAAACCACTGGAAAATGAAGTATCATTTATCCATAGAACAAGTACTGCAGACGCTAGCCAAGCAATTTTTTCTAGAAGAACAATTCTCATTCCTGACCTGGAGTGACTAACTGTAGAGGTAAGAAGCTTCAGGGGTTAGCCGAGTTAGTCTGTACAGGATAAACTTTAAAAACAAGTGGTCTGGTAGCACTTTATAGACTAACAAAACATGTAGATGGTACCATGAGCTTTCGTTGGCACAGCCCACTTCTTCAGATGACCGGAGTTTTGAGTTTAGGATGAGCAGACCCAAAATAAATAGGGGAGAAGGGAGAGGGGGGAAGGAAAAAAAGAATGGGGGCGGGAACCAAGGAGCAGAGGGTATGGAAATATCAAAGGGAAAAACAGGAAGGCAGAACTGGCAATCAGTAAGCACCTGAAGATTGGATAGTTAAAATGAAGCAGATAAGAATCAAAGGCAATAGATAGGAAGGGTACTAACACAGGAATCTACACAAAGAGCTCTTTGCACCTTCATTGAATGTTAGGTTGAAAATGTCCCAACCATCCCTCATCACGATTGAGGCCATCAGCATGAGAACTGAAATTGCGGATGAATTGTAATTCCAACGCCTCTCTGTGTATTTGGCCTAGTAGAATTGGTTTGTGACAAGACAGCCACTTGAAGATCTTTTAAACATTGATTAGGTAGATTGAAGTGTTCCCCAACAGGTTTCTGTATGTTCCCTTTATGTATATCTGATTTGTGTCCATTGATTCTTTCCCATAACGACTGTCCAGTTTGTTAAATATATATAGCAGTGGGGCATTGCTGGCATTTGATGGCATAGATCAAATTACTGGATGTGCAGTCAAATGACCTTTTGATTTGGTAGCTTATGTTGTTTTCGTAATTTCATAATGAATTCATCACTGGAGCCAACAACATAAGCTACCAAATCAAAAGGTCATTTGACTGCACATCCAGTAATTTGAGCTATGCCATCAAATGCCAGCAATAGTAGACTAATGCTGACCACGCCTTAATCTTCTTAATTTAATTGTATATATCAGATACTTGTCTGGGATTGCCTGTTTAACCACTCAACCACACAAAACCCATTGTAACACAACCTTTATGTCACACCATGCCAAGCTTGTAGGGTTTGCAACACCTTCTCTTATGATCAGTAGAAATGTTTCTATACAATGGGTTTTGTCAGTCCTGAGCAAAGAAGTCATAACCCTACCCTGTGCGTGCTTTTAGATCGTACATACATCCTCGTGTATTGGCTTCTTTCTTCCTTTGTATGAACTGACTAGAATACCGGAGGAGCATTTATAACCATAACGGACTTTGCATGATAACTAGAATGTGTCTAGTACATGATCTACCCTGCTACTGCTATCCTGAAGGATCAAACTTCCTTTGGAGATAAGATAGTTCTAGCTGTGTCATGCTATGGAATTAAGACTTAGGATTCAGAATCTTACAAAAGGGTATCTTCAGAAGAAAAAGTTACTAGTATGTAATTCTCTTTGTTTTTCACTATCCTAAGGGCTTGGGTGGTGGTCTGGAGACAGAGTTTAGGATTGAGAGCAATCACCGCACACATAAGTAACCAACAAAAAACATCATTTAGAATCATGTCATATATGACTATACACCCAGACTTCAACTTCTGCATTTTTTAAATTAGACAGGATTATGATTATTCAGATCGTAAACTATTTAAGGATGCAGTGGCTATCTCTTCAATTGCATTTTAATGTCACTCCTAAAATTCCTTTGGTACAGGTCACACTCACAATCTGCAGTATTGTCATACAAGGGGGCAATGCTATTAGCTTTAATCAGTTTGGGTGCATTCTACATAGAACTGTAACTCAAAATAAGATACGCAATTTAAGCTACGCAAATTGCGTATCTTATTTCAATGCTATTTCAAAATAGCTTATTTTGTCATTTGGAGCTGTCTACACAGTGCCAAATTTTGAAATAAAGCACTGTTCTGAAACATCCCTTACTCCTGATAGAAAGAGGCTTACAGGGACATCGGAATAACGAGCCCGAAATAACGGGCTTGCTGTGAAGATGTCAGATAGCTATTTCAGGATACTCCAGTATCCCAAAATAGAGTAGACATAGTGTAGTATAGACATAGCCTTTATGAACTGTGCTAGTGACAGGGTTATTGTTGCAAGAAAATGGTGCTGAGCAGTGAATACCCTGAAGTAAAAGTCCAAGCAAATTAGAAGTTATAGAAATATATTTGTACAATGATCCTCTTTTATAGCCTTCTAATTTGATCTAACAAAAAGGCTAATTCACTCATTGGCATGAGTTAAAGTAGTCAAAACTGGTGTGATCCAGAACACAAAGGTCCTTTGCCCATGCCATCTTTGCATGGCACTGAGAGAATGGCATAGAGTAGCTACATCACCAGCGGGTGTCCACTGCAATGTAGGACTTCCAAGTACCTGTCTGAAATGGCTGTACAGTCCCGGTACATAGACACTATGAGCCAGGCTCTTTGCCAAAATGATTAGCAAGTCAACCAATGCAGTGAACCATAGTCAATTTCTTTTTTAAAAATGGAAAATGTTATAAAAATAATCTCCTCTCATTTTGAATTAGCTGCTCCCTTCCCTGGCACCCTGTATAATCATGTATATCCATCTTCATGAATTAATAGTGGGTATAAAATACGATCACCTCAATTTTACAATTTTACACAGGTGTGAACAAAACACAAGGAGAAAGTCAGTGAAGAATAAGGCCCTTTTTTGAACACTGAAAGTTGCCCCTCATTTACAGTCTAAATTACACAATTTATAATCTAATATAAATTAATGCTGTGGAGTAACTTATTCATTACTTGCAAAGCTGAGATTTTTTTAACATGAACAAAGTGACTCTATTGCTGCCTACAGCAATAAATCATATTATTTATTAAATCATATTATTTATTTTCTGGAACCAATGGCTACTGGATGTTTTTACTTTAGACATTAAGCTTAAGGAAATCACTGTATAACCATTTCCAGTTACACAAACAATCTATATGCACTGTGAAAGACACATAAATGAAAAAGTACCAGCTCATACATCATAATAAGATACATTTTCTGCTCCTAGGACAGAAGAAACTCCTATTTTAAAGCAAACATGGAAATTGTGTTGTAGCACAGCTAAGATAAGAAAGATTTCCCAACCTTCTTATAGAACTGTAACATTTTTGTATCTAAAGTACAAATAATATCCAGACTGATTTGTAGTAAGAAAACTAATCAAGAATGTAATTCATACATGCTCTTTCCCCTCTCATTGTAAGATAATGTCAAACTCCCATGATTGATTTCTAACCTCCTAGATATCCCTATTCATTATCCTATCTATAATACAACACCAGTTGTAAGGGAACATGAGCAAAGGAATTACTGACTTTTCTTACTGACTGTTTGAAACAGAATTGTTGCATAAAACAATTTCCTATTTATGGTATGTGAGAAAAAAAGTTCTGTGTAGCACAGGAGATATCAATGGAAGATTTGTTGTCAGTTTATTACCATCCTTTGGGGAAAAAATTGTTTTCATTATTTTATCTCTTGCTTCAGTACTCCAGTCCCATGGTGCATTTTTACAATGCTGTGTTTAATAGTGAGAGACATCTGGACTGTCAGATAAAAGGAGTATGAAGGGTATGCGACAATAAACAGAGTCTGGTTCAGTTGAGACAAACAACTTGTTTCCTTGGTTTTCTTTCCAATCCAAAACAGTCTGGGGGGATGTATCTAATTAACTTGAAATATAAGGCTAATATTTTGATTGTTGAAAATAGATAATTTCTCAAAATACTAAGTCTTTCAATTGTCAGTCAGATTCAACCAATCAGGCTTTTTGAGGCTATTATATCCTTCCAGCATTTCAGACTCCTATACCCTTAACTGACAGGATACAGACTTCTCTAAAGAAAGCAAAAGAAACTGGAGACTGGGAAAATGAAGACATTTAAAATTCAACCCTCTGAAGTTACATCTCTCTTACCTCTGTTTGCTACACTGGTCAGGAACATTTATGCAACTGCCTAAATTTTAGGGAAAACATGAAAATCAATATACTTCCCCTTGCATAAGCTAAGATACATTTAGGCACACCACTCTGATTTTCTTCAGTTTCTCCCTACCCCACCAAAATACATCGAGTCCAATGCAACTCCATGTGATGATCTTTTCAGCAAGGATTTACTGCATTTTAAATCTATGGGACAAGATCCTAACAAGATGCTCAGTGAAGTTTAACCAGTAAGGATTGCAGGAGGGGCCCAGGTGAACTCTCTCATTCAGATACTTCCAGACAAAAGAGATTTAGTGTAGCATTTTCAGAACCTGAGTTACTTAGGAGCCTGGGGGAAAGCCTTTGGAGCTTCCCCTCTGCAATGAGAGGTAGGCTGGCCCTGCACGTGGGCACCTGCCCCCCAGCCTGTGCCCTCTATGAAGTACAGCTGCTCTCTTGCCTGTGCCAAAGGATCTTTCTCCTGACAGCAGCCACACAGGTGACCTTTCCCCCCAGCTTACCCAAGTTTATTCCTCGGCAGCCTCCCCTCTCCTCTGTCAAGAGACCGCTAACCCTGCTAGCAAGCCTGGGGCGCTTTCCTTATCCCCACTCCCCCCCCCCCCCCTTTAGCCTGCATCCCTGATCTGCCTCGCTGCCCCACAGAGGAGCCAGGCGCCGTCAGCAGAGCATCCCCTGCCCCCCAGTCGCTTCCAGGTGCGCAGCGAGGGGATGCTCAGCTGCCCCTTCCCTCCCCTCCTCCCCACAGGAGAGCGGGGCCCGCCTCCCCGGGCGCTAGGTGCGGGGGCACTAGGGCAGCGAGTTACCTGGCGCAAACACCATGCTCGGCTCCGGCCGGGCGCCGCGGGCAGGGCGGGAGGAGGCGAGAGGGCCGGAGCGCAGGAGCAGGCGGGGGTGTCGCAGCGACCGCGGCACCTTGGACAGCTCCCAGCGGAGGCGCTTCCCGGCGGCAGGAGGCTTCCTCGGCGGCGGCGGGACGCGGGCTCCCTCCACAATGCACCGCTCCAGCGGCCAGGGGAGGCGGGGGACCGGGGCTCGGCGCATTCCTCGGTCCTTTGCCTGCTGCAGGCGCCGGCCCTGCGCAAGGAGCCAGCCCAGGAACCCCTGAGCCTGGCGCAGCAGCGGGGGAAGGGGAAGGCGGAAGGCGGGAAAAGCAGCTTCCCAGCGGGGGCAAGCTAATTGCTCCTAATTAACGCCTCTCCGCGGCCTCACTGGAGGCTGCCTGACATTTAGGGGGTGGCCTTTCAACCGTCGTGTGCAACCCCGGCTAATAGGCTCCGGCTTCGCGGGACTTCGCGAGGCTCGGTCGAGTTCCCCTGGGGTTCAAATTGAAATGACTTCACCAGTGGCTCGCCTGCGCGGTCCCTCCTCGCCCGGCTTCTGGCCGCGCTTAGGCCACGCGAATAAGGCCAAAAGAAATGCGACCGAGGGAAAGGATCGGGGAGAAATAAAGAAGAGGTTGCTGATGCCCCCATCGAGCGACTTAAGGGCAGGAGGAGATACAGTGATAGAGGAGAAAACAGCCCACTAACTTTTAGCTCCCGGAAGCTGTTTGTTCGGAGAGAGAACATATAGCACCCATATTTCTGGCAGAGAAATTTCTTCTCCTCCACAGTGGAATTTAGATCAACCCCGGCCAGCCAGAGATGAAGCACAACGCAGGGGAACTGCTTGTCCACGGACGCCTCGCCCTGTTTGGCATGATTGCTTCAGCAATCTAAAATAAGCCAAGTAAAAAGCAGGTGGCAAACGTGCATTTGTGCAATGCACAGTACATTTTAGCATTCTGCCTTCACCAAGCACACAGACGCCTATAAGCCTTCTCTTTTCTGTTCAACCATCTTTCTCCCAAACCTATGCTTAGAGAAGACTATGTCAAGTGAGTGGTTCTTTGGGAGAGGTAATCCAGAGTTCAAGCGCAGGCAAAGAAGTGAGACCAGAGGCAGATGGCTAATGGGATGAACAGCATGGCCACAGGGAAACTGAAGTTACTGAAGGGGAGGGTGACATCTCTACAACTATGAGGCAAAATCAGAGAAGATGATGGTTAAAAAGGATGCTTAGAGAAGACTATGTCAAGTGAGTGGTTCTTTGGGAGAGGTAATCCAGAGTTCAAGCGCAGGCAAAGAAGTGAGACCAGAGGCAGATGGCTAATGGGATGAACAGCATGGCCACAGGGAAACTGAAGTTACTGAAGGGGAGGGTGACATCTCTACAACTATGAGGCAAAATCAGAGAAGATGATGGTTAAAAAGGAGTTTGGGGGGCTGTCAAGGATATCTCCTTTTAAACAGGCAATGTAGTTTTCTGAAAAAGAGCAGTAAGGAGAAGTGGAAGTTATCAGGGTTCATCTACACAACAGTGTTATTTTGGAACAACTGACATTATTCTGAAATAACATACTGCACGTCTACACTACCTGCTTTATTTTCTAATAATGTCAAGCTGGAGGACGTCTTACTTCGACTCATGGTAATCCTCATTTCACAAGGAGTAAGGGAAGTCAAAGGGAAAGTGTTCTTCCTTCAACTTTCTGCTGTGTAGACAACACCAAAAGCAGGGTTAAGATATTTCAACTTAAGCTATGCAATTGAGGTAGCTGACGTTGCATAGCTTAATTTGACTTTAGCCCTGCTGTGTAGACGTATTCTAAGAGAATCTTGAGTTTGGAGATGCCACATTTGAATTAATTTACTACATGGTGTGAATGATTTCCTTTAAAAACGTTTATGTTAAGAACTCAAGGTTGATTTGATTTCTTTACTCACAGACACTCTTCCTATTTGACCTCTCCATAGCTGAGCTCCCTCTCTTTGACTGCAACTTCTTCACCTTCAGTACAACCAGTCTTCCACCAGTTCAAATTCATCCCAGTTCTGAAACTTGTTATAGAGGACTATGTGAAGTGAGTTAGTCTTAGCTCAGTTCCTAGTAGATAGGGCCCAAATCCACAAAAGTACTTACATGCCTAAGTATTTGGTTTAGGCATTCTGGTCCACAAAACTCCCACTTGGCTGGTGTATAAGCATGTAGGCTCTTAAAATCACTGACCATGTAAAGTTTTGCAACAGAAAGTCTGTAGGCAGAAACATAGGTGCCTATAAGCATGTGCAATGCTGCCTCTAGGGCAACGTCTACATTGCACATTCTTGTGCAAGAAGATATGCAAATGAGGCGTAGCAATGAATATCGCTGCACTTCATTTGCATATCTAATGAGCCACCATTTCTGTGCAAGGGGCTTTTTTTGGGCAGAACAACTCTTGCGCAACTGGGGGGTTTTTGCACAAGGAGTAGTATAGACTGTTCCTTCTTGCACAAAAGCCTCTTGTGCAAAAATGGCAACTCATTAGATATGCAAATGAGGCACCTCATTGGCATATCTTCTTGTGCAAGAATGTGCAATGTAGACATAGCCTAGGTGTCTAGATACCTATCTCTGGGCTAAGCCCTAGAAAGCGATGCATTATCCAGGGAAGACTAGGCAGTATCATAATGACTACATTTATTTGTGTATCTGGGCCTAAGTGACTACATCCTGCACAAAAGCATATTAGTACAAGTGAGCACCTGTATTAGTAGTTTGAGTCATTCCTAAGAAGTTCAGGAATCTAGGTCAATGCTGAGACACAGTCTGAGGAAAAGAGCTGCTTTGATTTATGATGTATTGTGAGGGCTCTTTCTTTGGCTTTCAAATATTTAGCAGAGATTTGACCTCAGCCAGCAGGAAAATATTCATCCAAAATCTGCTTATTTCAGAACAAGTTTCAGAGGTGTAGCTGTGTTAACCTATTTGAGCAAATGCATCTGACGAAGTGGGCTCTAGCCCACAAAAGCTTATGCCCAAATAAATTTGTTAGTCTTTAAGATGTAACAAGATTCCATGTTTTTATTCTAGAATAGAATTATTAATTGTAGTGTTATTAACTAGACTAATAATGGGGTGTGTCATAAGGTAATAGGTTCCTGGGAGTAGAGCAGGAGGAGTTGGGGGAAGGAAGGGAAGATAAATCTCTTGCTTAATTAAGCCTATTAAAAGCTTTCAAAAAAACTGTGTATTGTTTTGTGACATGAACTTCTATGAGCCACCGCTGTAACTCTGTGTGTATGTGTTGGATTTACAGAGAAACTGAAGGGTTATTGTTGCTGTTGGACACACATTATTGCTATTCCTTGTTTCTATAAGAAGTTTTAAAATCTTGTATTTGATTATTGGAATTCTATATTTATCTTCAAATTGTTCAATTAGTAGGGTACAATGGGTATTTTATTTCAGAATCTTCTTAGCATTTCTGGCTCATGTTTCGTGTCAACACAAATCAATGTTTTCTAGACTACAAAATAATAAAAGGTACCTTAGATGTTTTTTTCCTATCTAAGGGAAAAAAATTAAAATACAAGATTTATCTATCAGGAAGGATAGACAGGGAAAAAAAGGGAGACGGTGTTGCCTTATATATTAAAAATGAACACACTTGGAGTGAGGTGGAGGCGAACATAGGAGACGGAAGTGTTGACAGTCTCCGGGTTAGGCTAAAAGGGGTTAAAAACAAGGGTGATATCATGCTAGGAGTCTACTACAGGCCACTGACCCAGGTGGAAGAAGTGGATGAGGCTTTTTTTAAACAACTAACAATATCATCCAAAGCCCAAGATTTGGTGGTGATGGGGGACTTCAACTATCCAGATATATGTTGGGAAAATAACACAGCGGGACACAGACAATCCAGTAAGTTCTTGGACTGCATTGGAGACTACTTTTTATTTCAGAAGGTTAAAAAAGCTACTGGGGAGGAAGCTGTTCTAGATTTGATCCTAACAAATAGGGAGGAACTGGTTGAGAATTCGAAAGTGGAAGGCAGCTTGGGTGAAAGTGATCATGAAATCATAGAGTTCACAATTCTAAGGAAGGGTAGAAGGGAGAACAGCAAAATAGAGACAATGGATTTTGGGAAGGTGGATTTTGGTAAGCTCAGAGAGCTGATACGGAAGGTCCCATGGGAATCAAGACTGAGGGGAAAAACGAGGAGAGCTGGCAGTTTTTCAAAGGGACATTGTTAAGGGCCCAAAAGCAAGCTATTCTGCTGCGTCGGAAAGATAGAAAATATGGCAAAAGACCACCTTGGCTTAATCAGGAGATCTTGCATGATCTAAAAATAAAAAGGGAATCATATAAAAAATGGAAAGTAGGACAAATTACAAGGGATGAATATAGGCAAACCACACAAGAATGCAGTGGCAAGATTAGAAAGGCAAAGGCATAAAATGAGCTCAAACTAGCTATGGGAATAAAGGGAAACAAGAAGCCTTTTTATAAATACATTAGAAGCAAGAGGAAGACCAAGGAGAGGGTAGGCCTACTGGTTAGTGAAGAGGGAGAAACAGTAACAGGAAACTTGGAAATGGCAGAGATGCTTAATGACTTCTTTGTTTCGGTCTTCACTGAGCAATCTGAAGGAATGCCTAACATAGTGAATGCTAGTGGGAAGGGGATAGGTTTAGAAGATAAAATAAAAAAAGTTAAAAATCACCTAGAAAAGTTAGATGCCTGCAAGTCACCAGGGCCTGATGAAATACATCTACCTCAAACCCAAGGCATCCTTGCCCTGCCTCCTTCCTGCCCCTTCTCTGAGGCTCCACCCCGATCACTCCATCCTACCTCCCTCCCCTGTCCTCACTGACTTTTATCAGGCAGAGGGCTGGAGTGGGGGGAGGGGGATGTGGACTCTGATCTTGAGCTAAAGGATTTGGAATGTGGGGGGGGGGGTGCTGAGCTGCGTCTGGGCAGGGAGTTGAGGTGCTGGAGGGGGTGCAGGAGGACTCAGAGCTAGGGCCAGAGCTCAGAATGTGAGCTCCAGCTGGACACTGCTTATCACTGGTGGCTTCTGGGTGATGATGCAGGGGGCTAAGGCAGGCTCACCCGTGCTCTGGCCTTGCACCACTCCCCAAAGCAGCCAGCAAACTCTTTCCATCCTGCCCTCCTCCCCACTCTGTGGAGATGGGGTACAGGGTAGGGGGAGGGGCACCCTGACATTAGCACCCCTTCCTCTTCTTCCTGTGCTCTGCACAGCAAGTGAAGCTCCCTGGGGTGGAGGGCAGCTCCAAGGCAAAGAGCAGGAGCAGCACAGCAATGCCTAGAGGGGCAGGTTATTACTTATGCAAGATCCCCATCTACTGCTTGGTGACCACTGCCCTGACCTATCAATGCATAGTTCATAGCATATGGAATTTGGGCACTGTGTACACTTTTATGTTTTTAAAGCACAGCCATAGCAGAGCTTTAACACGGCAGTGTGGTCCTGGCACCAGTGCTGGGAGAGAGCTCTCTCAGCACTCTAAGTAAACCACCTCCAAAGAA